GCCCCCCCCCTCTCCCCCCTCTCTCTCTGTATCTCTCTCTGTATCTCTCTGTATCTCTCTCTGTATCTCTCTCTGTATCTCTCTTTCCTTCTTTTGTAACTCTTTCTCTCTCCCCAGCTCTCTCGCTCCTCTCTCCCCTCTTTCTCTCTTTCGCGCTCTCTCTCTCCATCTCTCTCCTCTATCCCTTTCTCTCTCTCCGTTATCTCTTTCTCTCTCCAGTTCTCTCTCTATATATATATCTCTCTCTCTTTCTTTTTCTTTTTCTTTCTTTCTCTCACTTTCACTTTTTGCGATTTTCCCGATTCCTTTGGGTGACTGATTAGAAATCTATTTAGAGGCAAATGTATAAAACCATACCCAGTCAAAAAAACACGCAAGCTTTTTCAGAAAGGGTTGATTGGTAATCTGAAACCTGCAGTCGAACGTGCTTGAATTGATACTTGATTGCGTCGTTCACAGTGGCATTCATGTTTTATCTGTGACGTCACTCTTTTCCTGAAATGAAATTTTGAGAGTTATTTTCCTGAGAGTCATTTTGAACTTGACGTAACATAAAAACAAAACAAAATTAAACAAAAGCAACAACGAGATTCAAGCAAACACGGATGAAGCATACTCTGCAACAAGTCGATAAAGCGCTCAAACTGAAACTGACAAGATCTTCCGCTGTCTATAGCAGGGTACCCATTTCGACCAGGGAGAAGTGTGTGTGTTTGTGTGTGTGTGTGGGTGTGTGTGTGTGTGTGAGAGAGAGAGAGAGAGAGAGAGAGAGAGAGAGAGAGAGACAGAGACAGAGACAGAGAGACAGAGAGGCTGAGATGACAAAATGGACAAAGAATGAAATACCTGAATTTTGGTAGATGCTTTCCGCTGTTTTCTCTCCTCCTGGATGGCATCGAGTCTGGCTTGCAGCACAGGCTGGACGCAAGAGAAGAAAGAGGAGTTCTGATCAGATTGAGGCAGCTGGCAATGAAGCTCAGGCAAAGAGAGAGGCAGGACCTGAACAGAAGCACGAGTGCCACACATCGAACATTTTTCTTTCAAACCACGAGGTAGGAACCAGCCTCTTTGGTATGATAACGATGATGTGACACACATACTTCTACAAATTTCACTTTGAAAAAAGAAGCAGTCAAAACAATTCAAAACTTCATCTGCATGACTTAGGAACTTCAGAAATTAGACAGACAGAGAATTATACACTAGAGAATAACCAATTGATATCTGAACTCAGTTTCCATCATTGACCCAAAGCAATATATATGCAGTTTGTTTCAGCGAGTATTTACTACAGGTTGAATTTACAAAACTTAATTGTCTGAATACAGTTTTATACAACATATTATTATTCCATTCCTCCCAAAATCTTATTACTGTCAGATATAAAAATTTGTGTAAGGAGTTATTGAAACAATAATCAAATTCTTCCACGCTAATCAGTTAATAATTTTTAAAAAAATGGCAGTCTCAACTAAATCCACAGATGAAAGCAAGACAACGGACTTCCATAATCAAATAATCAAATTGTATAGAACAGGTTGACCAAATTATGATAGAGAGCCTAACATCCCTTCCACACATCAACATTTTTCTATTATGGCATACATTTTTAGGAAAGTGCATACTTGATAGCAAGTTGATTGACATGGGCTAACAATCTGTGACACATCAGAGACTTAAACATTCTATTCCAATCAGATTGTGCACATTTCTATGGAAAACAAGGGATAGAAATGACTAATGAGATTCAGTTATCTAGCCGGTACTTTAAAAAATGTCGATAATACTTTTTCCCTTTCTGAAGCTACTCAGAGTCTCATTACCAGGATATATGCAAGAAATAACAGCCTTAATTGTACCCTTGAAAAATAATTTTTTAAACTCTTCAGCATCAAAAGAACAGACACTCTTCTACTCACCAACACTTTTTTCCTGACGAGGTAGCCGCGTACTTGAGCCTGCAGGAAGACGAGAGCTCTTTGCTCTTTCCGTAACTCTTCGGCTCTCTGCCTGGCCAACCAGCCCCTTACTGAAGCCTGGAGGGTGACCACTGACCCCAGGATAGCCTGGAATCTACGGCATGCTAGGTACCGCCTCACTTGACTCTGGATCACAACAGCCGACTCATTCTTGATCGCCTGTCGTTGAATGAGGTGCTGTCTGAAAGCTAACTGGATGGCCTCAGCAGATTTATGCTGGACCTGACGTTTGTGGGCAAGATGTTTTCTGAAAGCTTTTTGGATTATGGAAGCAGCGTCTGCTTTGACCTGGAGTCTGCCTTGATGGAATGTTCTAAATGCCCTCTGTATGATGCATGCCGCTGTGTGCTCGAGGCAAAGCTTCTTATTCATATAGTTGCGGAACAGCAGCTGTATGCTGCGGGCTGCATGCTCCTGCTGTTGCTTGTTGTCCTGACTACTTTCCCATAATGCCCGGAGAGTCATGGCTGCCTCACGAGCATCCTGGAACTCTTTTCTTTGCTGACACATTCTCCAATGGCTCTGCAAGGCCACGACTGATGCCTCTTGCTTGTGTCTGCGACATGCTAACCACTTGCGAATCTCGCACTGGATCTTAATAGCACTGTGCTTAGCAGCCAAGAACTGCTGCCGGTCTCTCCTCATTGCCAGATAGCTCCTCAAACTCCTCTGTATGGCAATAGTCGCACATTTCACATGGATAAATCTTTTGTGCTCAACATGCATTCTGACACAGGCTTGTATTTTAGTGACTCTTTGAAGACTCAAGGCATACTCTCGTCTCTGCCTGATCATTCTGTACATGGTCTGTATTCTGACAGCAGCATCTCTACTGGACTCAAACTCTTGCCTACAGTGTTTGGCCAACAAAGTAGCTCTCCACCATCTCTGTATAAGAACTGCTACCAATCGTTGTCTCTCAAAGTCTCGTCTGACAGCAAACCCTCTGATCAGCCTTTGCAAGAACAAGAGTTTGTTTCTTGTCTCTTGATATTTACACCTGACTAAATACGCTCTGAAACACTTTTGTACCATAACAGCAGCTTTTTCTCTCCTCTCACTGCACAATTTTTGACGGTACAAAACAAACTGTTTTTGTATAACTCTTGCTGCTTGACATCTCTGCATTTCAAAAACTTTCCTTTCGTCTTCTGCTTTTTCTTGCATCAACCTCTGTTCTTCTGCTAATCTCTCAGCCTCCTGCTGTCTCTGCGATTCTCTCCTCACTTCCTCTCTCCTCTCCTCCAGCTCTCTTTTGGCCTCTCTGACACAAAGATATCGCCTCCACTCTCTCTGTATCACTCTGGTTGCCACACATCGATGCTTCATTTCCTGTCTCACGGACCTGCCAAGTTGGACAGCTCGATACCGGCGCTGACAACAGACACATGCGGCACGCAACATCAGATAGTCCTGGCGAAGACTCCAGCCCCGGTATGTTGACTGTATTTTGATTGCAGCGGCCCGCTGTGTATCTAGCAACTCCTTTAGCTGTTCCCCAACCTTTACAGCTCGATAGAATCTCTGTATGATGATGACTGAAGATCTGATAGACAGGAAAGCTTCTCGGAACACAAGGCCCAGCATTTTTGCTCTGTACCTTCTCTGCAAAATCACTGCCGCCTGCTTCAAAGCCAAGAACCTCTTCCTATCTTGCCTTTTCCTCTCAAGAGCTTGAATTCTTATGGCAGATGTGAGGATATTTTTATACATGACTTGTTCCCTATAACCTCTGAAGCAGCTTTGGATAGTTACAGCTGCTTGTTTTTGCTCTAAAAATTTTCTCCTTTCTTCTCTCATCTGCAGGTGTGCTCTGAATTTCATCTGGATAACCAATGCAGCATTTCTTTTAGTTGTAACCATTTGACGAGTCTTGTAGGCTCGAAAGGCAGCCTGTATCTTTATGGCAGAAGAAATTTGTTGAGCATGTCGCAATTCTAAGCACTTCCTGTACCATCGTTGTAGCGTGCATGCGGCTTGAGTTATGGCGATGTACTCCTGTCGAGTCTGCTTCCCTAACCGGTAATTTCTGTAACCTCTCTGGATGATCACGGAGGCCAGGCGGAGAGCCAGAAACTTGAGCCTCCTTCTGAAACAGCGGAAATGTGCTTGTATGACAATTGCAGCTTGTCTTTCTCTCTGATAGTTCCTGCGGGCCAGATAACCTCTCCACATCTTCTGTACAAGCTCAGCCAAATGTTTTTTCTCTATGAACTCAAGTCTCTGGTGCCGAGCTGCTACACAGGCTCGATACCAGCACTGAATGACCATGGCTGCTTCCTGTGACTTCTCCAGCTGACGTCTCGTCAGAAAACCTCTCCAGTAACACTGCATTAGAACCGCTGCCTGTCTCTGCCTTATGAAGGAGTGCCTGGCTTGAAACATTCTCCAGTTGCTTTGTATACAAAGTGCAGATTTGTTTTCTTTCTCTTCTCTCAATTTCCGGAACAGCCTGCGAGCCCTGACCACTCTCCAGGCACTCTGAAGCGTGATGACTGACCCCTTGATCTTGGCAAAAGCTTGTCTTTGTTGTAAGCCTCTAAACATTTTCTGTATAATAATGGTGGCACTCTTCCGCCTCTGATCTCGAAGCCTCAACAACTCTCGCCGTGCCAGACAGACTCGCCACAAGCCCTGAATCTTTTGGGCTGCCATCTGTGACCTTTGAAGATTTTTCCTACACAGAAACCCTCTCGCATGTTTCTGAAGTATCAAAGCAGCTCTGTCCTTTTGCTGACCACGTAACTTTCTCAGTTCTAGTCTTGCCTGCCGTGCCCTCCAAAGTTTCTGGATGACTACAGCAGCACACCTCAAGGCATATAATTCTTTCTTAGCTTTGAACCTGTGGAAATTCTTCTGAATGACAACAGCTGCATGAGTTTGCCTCTCTAGTCTGAGCCTCATAAATTCTCTCTGTGCTAACACACATCTCCATTGTGTCTGCACACACACAGCAGCCCTCTTCAGCCTCAAAAACTTTCTTCTGTCAGAGGCACACCTTACCACGCTTTGGACAAGCACCGCAGCTTCCTTTTGTCGCTCAGCGCGTAGACTCTCTACTACCTCCCTGGCTTTCTTTGCTCTCCACAGTTTCTGAAGGATGAGAGCTGACCCACGCAGTCCCTCTATCTCTCTCCTGCACAGCCTTCCTCTGACATGCTTCTGGATGACAGTCGCAGCCATCGTCTTTTTCTGTGTTCGAAGACAAACCAAAAACTTCTGTGCTAGTTTCATTCTCCACTGTTTCTGAATAGTCACGGCGGCTTGCTTTGAGGTAAGGAATCCTTTACGGCAGAGCCTCCCTCGCATAAACTTCTGAATCACGACTGCTGACTTGTTCACCCGTTCCTTCTTCAACATTTCCAAACTCTTCTTTGCCTGATGGCGCCGCCAAGCAGACTGTACACAGACCGCTGCTTGTTTTGATCTCACAAACTCTCTCCTGCACTGCAGACCTCGCACATGCCTCTGAACAGTTGTGGCTGCTTTCTGCTGCATCTCATATATAACTCTCTTCTTCTCCATCTCCTTGACTTTAGCTTCTCTCCTGCGAATCATAGACGCACGCCATGTGCGCTGAATTGTAGTAGCAGCCGATGCTTTCCTCTCCAGCTCAGCTTTTGCCAGTTTCTCTTGTCGGAGATGAGCCAACATCTTACAGGCACGGAAACGTCTCCATGCACACTGCAAGCGAACAGCAGCAAGTGCACGTTGATGGGCAAACCTCTGGGCTAAGAGTGGACGAATCCATTGCTGTATTTTCACAGCTGCTTCAATTCTTATCTGAGGAAAGAAGACAAATGTACATTAGAGCCAACTAATGAGTTATGGTTTGCTAAGTAGACTGATTACACTGACACAGCAACAGAGACCACCAGCTATCACTTCACAAGAAAAATTGAAGAAACCAATTTTACCACAACTAGCAAAGCAACACTGCATATATTTGTCCCTTTTGCCCTGGTACCCTAGCTACGTATTTTACACAATGATGGTTACTTTATTCAAGCAAGAGAATGTTAGTTAGTTATAATCCTGTCTCAGCATCTTGTTCACATCATAAGAACAAAGACTAGGTACAGCATACTTCAAATGAGGCAAAAAGACTTACTGTGATTATTGTCAGTGGAGCAATAAAATAGCTGGCAGTATACGACATTTTTACCTATGCACATTTTTTTCCCCCACTTATCAGGATCAGGTCTCTGGCACTATCAGGACTACTCTTTTTCAACTTTCTACATCTAAGACGACTAAAAAAATACCCAAAAGCTATTCACTGACCAGGCTTTCACGAGCTGATAATTGAGAAAACAAGCCACCTAAAACAGTTTGCGAATATGCAAAGCCAAGGTAGACAAAATCCCCATACCTTCCTCTCCCGTAGAGCTCGCCTCAGCCTTTTTCTCCTCCAAGCCATCTGCAGCACTCTCGCTGCACGAACTTCTTGCCGGATGTCCAGCAGTCGGGCGCAGAGATACGACACGTACGTCGACACAACCTTCTCGTCTGGGATGGTGTTGGACATGTCTCCAGACTTCAGCATGAGGGGGACACCTCCGAGGGCTGACACCTGAGATGGGTCAGACACAGTTCATTGTTTATTTCTTTGAGTTAACAGATACACATCCACACAATAACAATCATTCTGTGGTAGGGAAAAGCAGGATGGATACACAGAAACAGCAGAGGGAGGGTAAAAAAAAGTAGGGCCAACCAATGGCATCAAAAGAACACTTGAGAAGGAAAAAAAAAAAAGAAAATTTAGGATTGAGAAGATAAAAACACTGTCCTCAATCTCAAAGAAAAACATCACCTCTCTGAAAGACGAGAACCTCTGGAAAGAGTTCCCTAAACTCTCCCACCACATTCTCACCATAGCAAAGCCAGAAATTAGGAAAACACTTTTGGACAAGAGCAATAAAAACACATATCCTGTGGCACTAAAATATTCTGCCCTTGAAACAATAGACTCTTATCCACCAACATGGATCCACTGATACACTGATGGACCCGCCTTTAAGGCAACAATCAACGCTGGATATGGTCAGTGATCAATTTGCCCAACGGGATAAAAAAAGAGGTCTCCAGCGGGTCCTTCTGCTCCAATTTCATTGCTGAATAACAGGCCATCACCAACACAGCAAACTACATCAACTACTTGTTTGACACTAACCCACTTGCTACATAATTTGATAAGTAGGCACCAGATCAGAGTAGTCCTACAATGGATTCCTACCCACACTGGGATACCGGGAAATGAAAGAGCTGATGCTCTGGCAAAGAAAGGAGCTAGCCTCCCTCGGCCTGATATTCCTACTGATTTCACCACCTGCTGCAAAATGATCAAGTCAAACCTCAAGGAAGACTGGATGAACGATGGGACCACAGGTACGACAGGAAGGATGATGTATGGCCACATGAATAAACCACTGGTTAAAGATTCAATCAATGAGTTGAGGAGGTGAGATCAATCCATAATCTTCCAACTTAGAACACAACATGTACCCCTCAATCAACATCTCAACCAAACTGGAGTAAAGCAGTATGCTGCCTGCCCACTACGTGACTACTCCCCAGAGACAGAGGAACATCATCTGTTCTGCAGAAAACTAACTGATTTAAGGGGATGTTTTCTTCCCAAGCTACCCCACACATCTAACTGTCTCTACTCCTCAAAACAACAATTAGAACAGACATGCAGCTATTACAGAATGGCATCATGAAGAAGAGTCAACGCTCATATGCTACTGGATCGCTAACAACAACAACAACAACAACCAATAACTCTGTATGCCCAAAAACGGGCGAGCGCCTGATTCCACTGCACCACAACACAATTTCTCTTTCTTCAGCCTCTGCATATAGAGGCAAATTTACTCACCTTTTCATATAGTGTTTTGAAATTGGCCTTCTCATTTGCCAGCAATTGATCAAACATTTCAGGGTCATCCTCTGTAGAGAAATAAGAGAAATGATTTTTCGAGACACAAAGAAAGTGACTTTCAGAGTGAATGACATTTAAAAGTGTGACATGATTTTTGTTCGTAATTTAAATCAAAGACAGAAACAACAAAGAAAGACATATTTCATGTTTAGAAAAATCAACCCGTTTCTCAATGATTTCCTAAAAAATACTAACTTTAAAAAATTACCTAAAGAAAGAAATACAAAAGTCGTACAACAATAACCCCTTACCCGCTCCGATAAGATACAGGAGAACGAAAAAAAGACTTACCCCCTTGCAGCAGCCCCCCTCCAGTCCCCCAGTCAGCGCTCGTGTCCGGGTCTGCCCCAGCCTCACATCGCTGCTCCGCCTCTTCCTGGAAACTGACAGTAGTTCGGAAGTTGATCTCTTCTAGCGGCAGGAGAGCTGGGTGATAATGGTGGAGCAGACAGCAAAGGGCTCGCCCATCCGAGAATGACACAGTGAAATTTTCCACCTGAGGACATTGGATGCAGATTAAACCCGATTTGTGGGCCATGGTTCATGAAGTACCCGGTTAAGTCCGTAAAAAGATATCACAGACATTTAACTGGATGGAGACTAGACGATACAGATAATTTTGTTTTAAAACACACATCAACATCTTAGTGTAGGACCTCGCCATACATTATTTTGAAGGACAAAGGAAAAAAAAAGCAAAAACAACTGAACTTTCTAGTGTGCCAATAGAGCACTACATGGGAAACAACTGAACTTTCTAGTGTGCCAATAGAGCACTACATGGGAAACAAAGTGTTCAATATATGTAAGAGAGGAATACAAGAAGATTACATTTCACGGTGTGAAAACAATATAAGTATTTTTCCTGAAACATCAGATGAGCATACAAATATACAGTAAAATTTTTTAAAAGAACCAAAAATCACAATGAAAAACTAACCAAGCACTTTTCAATAAAGATCTAATTTCAATCCTTTTTCAGATAAAGCTATTCATCTGAGAACATTATGATGGCTGGACGCGAGACTTGAAATTGCATACAATCTTCTATTGCAATGCATCCTTTCCTTCAGTAACAGGCAGATTTCACATACCTTAACCCCATAGTGCAAGGCGACCAGGCGGCACCACTGGAACACCAATCTCATCATCTCATTGTCTTGGGGAAGATTGGAGTCGCCAGAGTCTCTGCGGGCTGGGGAACAAAATACAAGAGAGAACAGCAGGCATCAGACATGTCATGAAAATTGATTTTTTAACTATCGTAAATGTTCAGCAGTCCCATCAACATAATCTAGATAATTTGGGAGGCAAGCTGTTTTGACCCTGCCTTCTGATGCAACATCCAAAACAGAAAGACAGAAATACTTGATAGAGTAACTTCCCCAGACAGGACCAAACTTCGTATGGCAAAGGGCCTAGCTATTATACAAAGACATCAGTATGTGATTGGTTTGAGTACGGCAGTTTGTTTGAGTTAAAGAGAAACACACCAATAACAAAATGGCCATATGGAAGTGGAAAAAAAACAACCCAAAGTGACCGATAAAGTCAAAATGCACTCCATTATATATCATTATCATTCATCATATGCCAGAATAAGCTTTAAAAATGTCCTCAAGATGTCACCAAAAAAAAAGTAAATGCGACAATGATTTCTGGTGAAAGAGAATAAAGGCCATATGAGAATAAATTTGTCAACAACGTCAGTAAGGATGAGAAAGATAACAACTGTCTTTGATGTCAAATTTTTACAGATGAACTGTACTCTGCATTAATATATTATGACAATTGATACAAGGACATGTTATGCAAAAACAGAATCACTTCAATGTTCAAGTACAAATCTATCTGTAGACAATCCCCTTTTGCGCGGAACTGATGACGGACTTTAGAAAGCACTGACCTTCACAGCCGCGGGCCAGGATGGCTCCGACACTCTGCAGAGCCACCGTCAGTCGCAGCGACTTCTCCAGCAGACTGATCTCCTCTCGCAAATGTTCTTCATTCACCTGCACAGAATTCTGGGAAGACAAATCAGAGACAATAGAAAAACTCTTCATATCAACAGGGATGTAAATAACAGTGCCAATTCCATCTTCTTAGCTCAAAGTTGACCATGATACCATGCGAGTTGGTCAAGATCATTTGCAAAAAGTAACAAACTAAGCTAGCACACACACACACATTAGAATTGTGTGATGAGACCAGAGGTTGGCATCAATTCTCCCTACAATGGTCACAAAGGAAAAGAATTTCTCTTTCCAAATTCAGTTGTAGGTGGATTTACACGAAAATGTGATAGGGAGAATGTATCAGCTCGCAAAGGAGTGATGATAATAATATATGGCAAAAGATGCACTTTTTTGTGCTTCAAAGTATTCTACATCTATATTGGTTTACCTATTCTAAATAAAAAAGGTATACAGAGATAAGAAACAGAAATTAATTTGAAAGAAGTATTTATTGAGTTTAATATTTATAACCGACATTTCAGTAATGGTAAGAAATAATCAAAATAGAGTAACACATTCCACACCCAAAAAAAAAATGCAGGATATTGAACAGTGTCGACAGTGAGCCACGTTTGATCATGGGCTTGCAGGGCTTGAAAGACAAAAGATCGCTGACATACGTTTTAGTTTAACTAACCTGGAAGTGAATGATCAGATGCCACAAAAGGGCTAGAGTCTTCTCTCTATGACCGTCCACGACGTCTCTGGCAGTGACAGCGACACCTGGTGGAAAGAAAAAAACAACAAAATTTTGAGCTCATGAAAAGCCCATTTAACTCATTGCATTTGCATCTTTTTACTGTTTTTTGGGGGGCCTCAATTTATTTACCAGTAGTTGATCAATTACCTACGCCATAAATTATTGAGATATTTTTAGTGTCAAAGAATGTCAAGAGACAACCTAGTTTGACAGATATTTTTTATCCGATTAGGCTAAAGGCTTTTTCAATAACTATTTCCTTGGAAAGAACCGTAGGAAACATTTTTATATATTTACACATACAAAAGACAAAGACATAACCAAATAAGGTCACATTAAGCTAAGAACAGCGAGTTTTTTTAAAAGCTCTCAAAAACATATTTAGATGAATAATTGGCGCAGAGTATTTTTTGCAAATGAATTAAAATGGTTGATGAGGCGATATCCTGACGAATCTAAATCCCCCCCCCCCCCCCCCCCCCCAAAAAAACATTTTTCACGATATTCCATTTGCTCAAATTAACCTTCTGTGACTTCCAGACCCATTTCTAAGTCATACATACACATATTTTGACAAGAAACGATGACTAAAACAGACAGATCTACCTTCCAGAGTGTTGAATTCCAGTCCACGTTTAGCCATAGCCTTAAAGAAAGCCTCCATGTTGTGTACCTTCTGCAAGCGACTAATGGCAGGGGCTCGGAGCTTACCCATCACGCTGCTGTCCCCGGCCAACAGCTCCAGGACTCGGCTGGACACAGGTCAAAAGGAAACGTAGATAAAATAAAAGTTGTCATGGCGACCACTCCTTATGGCGACTACCTTTCATAAAGTACCCTTAAAACAAAAGTCATTCAATTTTTTATATCTCTATTAAAATAGTATACAAGTGGAACTACCTTACCTGCTCAATCTAGCCAAACCTTTCATAAAGTACCCTTAAAACAAAAGTCATTCAATTTTTTATATCTCTATTAAAATAGTATACAGTGGAACTACCTTACCTGCTCAATCTAGCCAAAGCTAAGGAAAAAAGGAAGAAATAACCGTGCTTAAGGAAACCAAATGTTCAGTGAGCTCACAATCAGTTTTTACTTTACTCTTTCAATATACCATCAGGTACATATAAGGCGGAGAGCAGTCGACACACCATGCTTGACTGTCCCTCGCCACATTCTCTAATTTTGGCACATCCAAGCCCTGGGTGATTGTCTCATCCCTGATTATGCCTCTGAAGATGTTCATAACATCTTTAATCTACAGCATGCTCCATCTTCAAAGCTAAAGGAGCTGTTTATGTTTCTTGCCTGCCTCATACAGATGGATTTTAGCATTGCAAGGGCGCTTATTTTAATATATTTCTTAAAAAATAGACTCACAACTGTTGTTTGACCCATGCATACAGCTGTCTTTTAGTTTGTCTATGACCAACAGCAAATAAAGAAAAGCTCCTATCCTTCAATGATTTACCAATTAACACCTATATGGCTTTAGAATCAAGGAAAAAATATGCTGAACCGTGGATTTTTGCCAGTTTCCAAATCCAAAACACAAGAGTGAGAGGTTGAAGAGGATGGGTGTATGTGTGAGAAGTTTGGTAATAGCTAACAGAGATCTGTGCTTTCAGCCACAGATTGAAAGAGGAAGAAAGAGGAGGAGGGCAGAAAAAAAAGGGGAAAGTGGAAAGGAGAAAAGGACAGGGTGGGAGGGAGGGAGAGAGAGAGTTTAGTTTTAGTAGGAGGTTTACGACACTTGCAACACAATAAGGTCATATAAGTGCCGAAGATTAGAGGTGTTACAAGAGTAACGAACATAAAAAAGAAAGAGGGGAGATAGAGTTGATAGATTTTTTATAGGAAAGAAGGAGCACACCACATCAGAGCACCCGCCAACCACCCAAGGAGAGAGAGAGAGAGAGAGAGAGAGAGAGAGAGAGAGAGAGAGAGAGAGAGAGAGAGAGGAGGGGGGTAATGGACTGACAAAAACTAAGGAAAAAACAGACAAGCTGATGGAAAAAAGATAGGAAACAGAAAAAGAAGATGGTAAATTCTGAAACATTCCCTAACCCAAGGCGCAGTCCATCCTTGAGGTCCTTGCTGAGACAAGCCACTGCGTAGTCAAACTCATCGATGGGCTGCTGGACTTGGCTGACCGTGTACCCCATGTAGGCCAGGTGTCGGGTTATGTCCCCTTCCCCACTGAGCACCTCTCGAGAGAACTGGACCAGAATCTCTTTGCTAGACTGTAACAAAAGATGGTGGGGAGTTTTAGTTTTAGTAAGAGGTTTACGGCACTTGCAACACAATAAGGTCATATAAGTGCCGAAGATTAGAGGTGTTTCAAGAGAGTAACAAACACAAAAATGGAGGAGGAGAGATAAGGACGACAGATGTTTGGTAAGAAAGAAGGAGCAAATCCTATCAGAGCACTCGCCGACCACCCGCTGGTGGGAAGAAAAATTCCACAAAGTTCAGTAAAAGAAATAAGATGGGGATGATTTAGATGTAAAAAAACACACACCCCCCAAAAAATCTATATACTCGATGAATGTTAATCATTCACTACAAAAGAACAGTCACCAAACTGTCATTGCTAGTATAAAATATAAAAACCAAGCAACTAACCTTGATCTCAGCATCCTTGCAGAATAGACACGGGTCGTGATCGATGAGTCTGTCAGTCTTTGCTGTGTCCATGAAGTACACCATCAGGAGAAACTTTTTCACCATGTGTCTGGACACCGCTGCTGCAAAGCCTGTTCCCAAAAACATAATTTTTTCTCAATTGTAGCGTACAAATGTTCACAAATTAACTTATATCTGCAATTCCGTAATAAATGTTTGAAAACCTAAAGAACAGAAGGTAAGCACAGCAATGTGTCCTGAACTTTGAACCATAAAGAACAGAAATTCACACCTCTTCAGCAAACAGTATCAGTACTCATCACTATCCCATATTGGTGCTGCATAATCCTTCATTCCCATGGCCACCAAATCCCCAGTGTATATCGTCTTTAGGTGCAAAGATTTGCCCATCGATAAACAGACAACCATGCCTATAGGTATGTGAAAAGGAAGTGGACAATTTTGCTTGTAACAAGACTACATCTAGTCAAAAGAGCTGATTTATAAATATGCGACACCAAGGAGATGGATGAATCCTAGCACAAGGAAAGCTGCAATGCCAGGACAAACATTGGATTTAGAAATTATAGTGTAACATCAAAATAACTGCCCATAATCTCAACTTCTGAGTCATGAATGATAATCAAATAATACGGTACATTACAAGTTCTAATGCTCATTTTTGTTCTACTTAGTTAAATCATTTTAGAGGCATGACCAAAGATTTAACATGCACCTCTGATTCTGCCTCGCCACATCAGTGGTGAGTTTTGAAAACCAAAGAGACATCACAATAATGAGAATGCTGTGAAGGAGAAAGGGTGTGAAGAAAGAAAGACTGATGGAAAAAGAGATCAGAGACAGGCTCACTAGCATAGAAGACCAGCATTAAACCAAGTGAACTACCAGCACACCCAAATTAAAAACTCGTTTACAACAAATGAACATGCATTGACAAACAAGGCGGTCTTTTCTTTCCTTCACTCCTTCTGCTCTTGACTACAGTGATCAAAAGGGGTTTTGATAGTCAAATTCTCCACACTTACCATCTCTATACAGATGTGGAACTGTTGGATGCGAATACTCTGCAGCTATGTCTGGGCAGCTCAACAGACGGGTAACAATAAATCTGGACAGACCCACGACATCTTGATTGGACTGGAGCATTAGAATTTCTCCAAACACTGTCTGCATGTGCAAATAAAGCCAAAAATATTGTGAGACAAAAAACATGATGTATATGGCTTTTTTTAATATAAAGGAGCACATTCCAAACTCACCTTAAAAGTGAAGTTGACACACTGATTTCCAAATTTACATAAAGCACGGTAACAGTTGATTACAATATTTAGTATGACCATTAAGGTAAGACATTGAATAGATATAAGATAGGGGGTGGAAGGGGTGAAAGATACCATAGAAGCACACCCTAACTAACTGGTCCCATACTAAAACAAAATAAAAAGAATCTTAAAAATAAGACCAGTACTTTCATTTCAGCTTTTAGAAAAAAAAAAACATTTAATTAATTCAATAAATTTTTCCTCTAAACACATTTTATGATTGCTACAAAACCCGAAGGGGATTAAATTCACTCTACTAGAAGAGATGATTCTGGCACTGTTGATAAAAGTCTTTCTCTCCAACTCTTACCTCGAGTCCCACACGAAGCCACAAGGAGCTGTACTGAAGTAGAAGATCCAGCATCTTTTGCTTGATTCCTTCAGGGAGAAACAAAAAATAGAATTTCAGTAAACTAGCTTTTTTCCCCTCGTCTAATTTATTTCTATGGGTCAGGAAAATAAATTAATATTAATATTTTTCCAAAAAAATTTTTCTAAGAAAATAAGAAAGTAAAACGTTCTCTAAATACTCAAATAATAATGTGCAATACTTGAGTGAGAAGTCAAGGACTAACTTGCAACCACGAAGCAAAATGGCACTTGCTTCATGTCAACTTCTTCATTCTCTACTCTTAGTGCGAACTACTTCTTTTCATTCAGGAGAAATAGAGTAAAGAACTTTTGTCTTAATGATAACATAACAAGCCTTTCTGGCTCTAACTCGTAAAAGCCATGTCCATTTGATTTGTGTCTGTGACAGAGGAAAATAGAAGGCATTCTTTAAATGGTTCTTCACTGTTAAGAGCAGTGGTTCTTAGATGCATAATGAAGCAATAGTTAGATTAAAAATAAAGGCATTCTTTTGTATACTTATAGACTATACACTTATTTTCACCATAACAACAAATTCTCCCTTACCGAGGTCAGCATGCACCATCTTCTCCTTGCGCACTGTAATCCTGCGACTCTCTACCTCTACCTCCACTCGGCGAATGATCTCGACGACCTTCTGCGACTGGTACAACTCGCATGCAGCTCTCCGCAGCCGGTTCAGACGCCTGCGAGCTGCGTATGCTCGGAAGGACAGGATCTCTTTAGTGGGAGCCAGCCTTGGAGCCACATTGCGAGTGTCCAGAGAGAGAGCACGAGCGTCCACTGAAAAATACAGAAGAGCACTTTGTAGGAGAGAGAACAACATTGACGCAATGACAGTTATTCAGTGCAGAAAAAATAGCAACATCAGGAACTGTTTGAAATAGGGTGTAATCAGTGGCGCTGTCCGAGCACCTGCTAGAAGAGTAAAATTGACATACTCTTATATTAAAAACCCAAGCAGTTTTACTCCACAAAAGGTCTGCTATCTCATGAGCCTCACTGAAGTACTTAGAAACAAATAAAACAGCCAGAAACTGCAGCTCAGAAATGTCTCTTTAATACACTTTTCTTTTCATGCCACCAGATTATTATGCTGAAGGCCTTCAGCAGAGTTATGCAAAAAGGAGATGTATGTGTGGGTGCCTAAAGAAAGGTACCAAAAGTCGGATTTTGACCATTTCGAGTTAAGGGTTGTACCTTACAGGAAATTCAATGCTTAACACAGTGGTCTTTGAATTTGAATTTTTTAGATTATATCACAAGTAGTTTTTGAGATATTGCACATTTTGCGAGGTTGGGTATAAAGATAGAATTTTGAGAAAATGAGCTTTTAAGTTTAACAAACATGAGAACAAATACAAACTTTAAAAAAAACCCCCACGATTTTTTAATTGTATTTATTCATGGAAAATTCATGTCCAATTTGACATTTAGTTTACTTCAACATCATCAATGGAAAAACATAGCAGGGAAGAGAAAACGTGCTTCAAGAATAGATTTTTAACACCTTTAGTTTAGTTTTAGTAGAGGTTTTACGGCGCTCGCAACTGCATTATAAGGTCATATGAGCCCCAGAAGATTAGAGCTGTTACAAGAGAGTAACAAACATAAAAAAGAAGAAGGGGAGATAAGGACGATAGATGTTTGATAGGAAAGAAGAAGCAAACCACATCAGAGCACCCGCCAACCACCCACTTTAACACCTTTTAAAAGCAGTTTCCATTATTATTTTTATTAAACCCTATCCTCAAAATAAATTATTTAGAAGTCAAATCAAAGAAAACACTTTGAGCACATTGTAAAAAAAAAATGGAGGATCTATAATTTTTTTCTGGAAACACATTTTGGTCAAAAATGTGATTTTTGTCTCATTATCAGCCTGTAGCTTGAAACGGTCTGAAGCGACTTTTTGTACCTTTCTCAAGGCGCACACACACATTTTAAGACTAGTAAATAGGCCACTGCATTTTCAGCAGCCCATTTTTTTCTGTTTTTCATCCGCTATTTAGCTTTAGTAAAAGCAATAATAAAAGGCACCATTATAATTTATACTCACTCCTTTTTGGTACTCGAGATAAAAACATTTGGTCTCGTTAGAAAATAATCCACACAGCAAACAGCAATATTTTAAAGCTTGATAGAAATTAATAATTGCATTTACATAGCACAAGGCCTATGTCCATGCTCTACAGCATCCTCTTTGTGCTTTATAACTACTATTACCCCAGCAGACCCTAAAACACCCTGGGTAATTGTGGTCCAAGAGATGCTCTCACAGTGGCTCTAATCTCCTGTCCCATTACCTTTTGGTTTGCTTGTGACAGCCAGGTACTCGTCAGGGGGTGTCAGGACAAAGTTGAGCCACTGCACAAAACCTCGCTCCTGTTTTTCCATCCATCGCTCATCGTAGTACATGTTGCGAGCAGCAAACGGCATCGGATGTCTTGGGGTGCCTGGTGAGGAAAATGGAAATAAATAAAAATCTGGTCTCAGAGGCTGAAGGTTTGTTCTGATGTCACTCAGTGCTCGGCAGTGGAAAAGATCGGGCGTCAGTTGTTTTTTTTCCTATACGAGCATTACCTTTCTTCTTTAAATGCCAGATCTGAAACAGATATTTGATGATTATGGTTTGCCATTCATTTCTCTGCTTGAAAGCTCTAAAAAAATTTGATACTGTCGGGGGTCTTTTGTTGTCACTTACCTGTTCAAGGTCATTAAATAGTTTATTTTTGGTCTAAGTCTGCCTCTTTTGACTTCTATTTTTCTTTTGAGAACAAAATGTTCAAGACCTTTATGTCCATTCAAGTGTTAATTGTTTCCGTTAGTGAACTAAAATCCAGGGCAAAAAAGGAACCAGAAGTACCTAATAAAAAATGGCAAACTTTGCCACAAAATTTACAAATATATCAACCCTGAAGAGGCTTGGGATAAAAAAAAATATATATCAAAGAGGTGTTCTCAAGAGGAAACAGTATCTTTTTAATTTTCTCGGTGCTTACTCTTTCTGTCCAACCCTGTTTTATGATAATCTGATGATAGAGGCTCTGGTCATACAAAAAAACAGACCCTTTGTCCCTTATAGTGCGAGGCATCCTTTTAAAATGACATTTGTGTCATCACGTAATGGGTAATCAAGCATATATACAATTATACAAAAATAAAGACGCTGAGATAACTTACCAGATTTGGCTTTTTTCAGCAGGATAAGTCTCGACTGAGCAACTCCTTTGGGACCTTTCTTCTTGACTGAGCCACTTGGTGCTGTACACAGGGTAAGAGACAGAGAAACAAATGGATTAGTGACTAATCTCAGTCTGTCAAAAGTACAGGTATCAAACTCAAGGCCTAAGGGCCAAATCCGGACCGGCAAACACTTATATATATTTTATCCATCCTGCAAGAGAACTTTAGGTAGTCTATCCTGATAATTTTCACAATAAAGAACTTTATCCCAGATATAAATTAACTTGCTGCCAGGTAAAGATGGCAAAAACATCCAGCTGTTCCAAAGCGGCTTATAAGAAGAGTGACAATTGGCATGCCTTGATATAATAATAATGTTATTATTTTAACTTTTGTCAGTTTTAATTCATATAACTTTTCAAAAAAAGTTTTAGTTCTTCCACTTCCCATTGATGTGTTCATCCAGTAAGTTTTAGTTTTTCCACTGCTCAATGTGTTCATCCAGTCTGACCCACAACCTTTAGTGTAATTTGAGTTTTGCCCCCTGAGCAATTTAGTTACAATGTAGTTTGACACTCCTCAGAAACACAACGCTAGGCAGCTTAGAACTGAAGTCACCTTTGTATGCCCAACTGTAGAAGCATTTTTTGTATGCACTAGCAGAATAAAATAGCGGCAAAGAAAAATAAAGAAAGACCTGCTATATATCATAGACTGAGAATGTAAAATTCAGCAGTAGTAACTTTACAACTTCATGAAATAACGCATCAAAGCAGAAACTGGGGAAGATGAAGGCTTGTTGAGGCAGAGGTGTGGGGCACAAAGGGACAAACACAGCCAGGCTGACAGGTGACATGCAGTAATCTACACAATGGGAACATTCATTTACTTGCCAGGGTTGGAACTGTGTGGTGAAGCACTGATTAAGCGCTTCACCATTGCACACAGAAGACACCAGTTCAATTCCCTTGTGGGGAGAACTTATTTCGTACTATCTCCTTCTTTCTGTTGCAGCGTTGTATTCCTATCAGCTAGGGTAGGTCCTAACTGGCAAAATCAAAGCAGCCCATCTCCTAAATGTTGTAAGTAGTGTCAATGGGGAGTAACACTTTTCTACAACTTTTTTTCTGGGTTGTAGGCTCAAGAGTAAGAAAAGTAGCATGTTGATGTAATTTCATTACAAAATTAGCCTGAGCAGAAGTAGTTATAATAGTGGTACTGAATAGAAGTAGAAAGAGCAGATATTCAGATATATATGGCGTTAGATTAATCCCCAACTACCTGCTTCTATAAGAAGAGACTGTTTTTGAACAGATAAGCACAAAAAACAAAAACGCTCACCAGGCTTGACAGTCTTAGATGGTCTGACTGGCTTGCGATTGATGCTCGAGTCGGCTACAGCAGCTTTCTGAACTTTCTCATCCGATGGTCCAGTCAAGCTGCTCAGGCTACGGCTTCTGACCTTGAGAGTGCTGGCTTGACCACCAGGCATTTTAGAAGTGGGCAGCTGACCCTGAGACGACCTTGACAACAGAGGTTTCTTAGCCCGTGTGGTGGGTTTGACAAACAAGGCCCTTTTCGGATTGCTGCAAGCAGTGTCAGACTTGGCATTGTCCAAGGAGTCGGGGGGAACAGTTGCATGTACTGGGTCAGAGTGAGTTTCTTCTCTTTCTTCATCAGCAACAGGGATATCAAATGCAGTATTTCTTGGCATCAGTCCATCAGCTGATATGGAGCGCCTCAACATTTTCTTCTCTGTGACTTTCTTGGGTCGTCGTTGAGCTAGTACGGTTGGCACAAAGCAAACTCTTCTCTCTGTGATAAACATCTCCCTATGATCTACACAAGGATCCTGTGTCTCAGAAGTTTCTTTCTGGGCTACAGCAGAAGAGGAAGTTTGGACACTATTAGTTTCATCCGAAATCTTTTCAGGACAGGCAAATTGTCTCACAGCTTGTGATTCAAGTGGAGACTCACTCAAAGGCACAACGGTTATTTCTTGATGCAGGGACGATGCAACATACTCTTTTCGCTGCACCTGGAGAGAGTCAGAAGAAAATGTAGAAATTCTACTAGAATCAAGCGAGTCCTTCGTCACGTTTCCCACGCTGTCTTCTTCCGAGATATCCTCATAATCCACAATCTTGTTGGACATCAGACAAACTGATGTGATTGGAGGAGCTGATGCCTCAGTCATTGAAGTTTTCACCATCTCAAATTGATGCTGTTGTACCTCCTCTGTCTTCTGAAGGTCATTTGATTTTCCTAGCTCGTCAGACAGCATTTCCACTGTATTCTGCTCATTTCCAGACGCCTCAGTTACAAGGGTAGAACTGGATACTGTTGGAGTTTCCATTCTTTCAGGCATAATACCCCCAGGTTGAGGAATGACTGGCACACTCAGTGTCTTCCCCATCTCCGGACAGACTCCCGCCATTCCATCAGAAGTGGCAGAAGTCTCAACAGACGTGCAAAATTTCAGTTTTCTTTTGTTCATGGCTGCAACATCAATGACTTTTGGGCTTCGTATGATGTGGGTTGACCTGCGTGATAAGTCTGGGTTGGGGCTAGTGGGAAGCTGTGGTGGAGTGTTGAACTGCTGAGGGCTCGCAGGGACTGCCTCAATGTATGTCTCTGTCATTGACTTGACCACGTCCGTGGTCTCCTTCACCACCACATACATCTGTCCGTCAATCTCCTCATAGTGTTCCTCCACATGAATACGAATGTTCTCAGTAGTCTCTGTGTCATCTCCTGGGAGAGTACCTGGGCTGTCTTGCCTTGATGACAAAAGCATTTGTCTTTTCCTGTTGTTCAAAGCCGCTAGTAAGGCATCCGAGGGCCGTGATTTTGTAACTGTCATTGTCCCACGGCGAGAAAATTCCGATGCCATGCCTGGACTTGTCGGCAACGCACTTGGTGAAACTGGACAAAATCTTTGTGGAGACAACGACCGCTCAGCAGCATTGACAACCCTGTCCAGTTGAGACTTACGAGGCGTGATGACATAGGAAGAACTCTGTTCTGCTGCCATCGTTATGGTCCCAGCAACATCTGCTCGCATCGTCCCTTGCTCCGAGGTCTTCAGAGAACCAGCATCTAGAGTTGCCTCAGTGCTGCAGGCTATTTCACGACAGAAATCTTCAGCTAATGATATCTCATTTTGAGAGACAGTGACTGTATCAGCCAAATTCAAGTCAGGGAAGAGATTGCCCCTTCTTGACAGAGAACTGTTCTTTCCACCATTGCTTTCATTTTTATCAACTCCATCATCATCAGGGAGAAGGTTTTCAAAAAAGCTTCCACTTCTTTCATGTGAGACATCAAATGATCTGCCTTTGACGATGGTACCAGAATCCACAGCGCTACCTTCCTTCACTGGAGTCACCTGTTCATCTGTCTCACCATTGTGTTTCTCAACTGATGGACAAACCAACTTATCTTCCTGGACTTCGGGTTTCGAGCTCGGAGTACCCTTTTTCTTTTTTCTCTCGGTAACATTACTTTCAAATGGAGAGCCTTGCAGTTTCACAACTTTATTGGTGGTCAGCTTTTCTGCAACCTCCCGTTTAGCTACAGTAGGAGATTTCTTTTTCAGATTCTTCTTCTTGATATCAGATTCCTGCCTCTTGGCTGATGATTCTCTTGCACTTGTAGTGCTCTGTGTTTTGACCTTCACCTGCTGGCATCCGACCTTTCCAACAGACTTGTTCCGCTTGACCTCCTGTGCTGTGCTGGCAGATCCACGTTGTGCACAAGGCCCCTTTCTCTTCCACTCTTCTTTCTGGCCAGAAAGCCGTCTCTGGTTTTTCTTCACAACTCCAGTAGTCATCTGCACCTCCTCTTTCCTGAACTGTGAGGAGATGGAGCGACGTTTCGTGCCAAACTTCTCAGAGGGACGCTTCTTCGGAGTTCCAGAACTACTTCCTGAGGGGGCAGTCTTCGGAGAATATGTGAGAGACACCCGAACATTCTGCAAATGGCTGACCACTGCCCTATGAGGAATGGAATTATTGAGAGTCGCGGAGGGGCTGGGAGGTTCGTTACGAGTCCCCGACCCGCTTTGATCGTGAGCCATGGCTTTCATGTCCTCCATGAAGGAGTTTGGGCTCACCATACCCATACCCTGGGAGATGATGCTGGAATTCATGCTGTTACCCTCTGGAGGGGAGATGACTCCACCTGAGGATCTCACACATCCTACCTTCATCTGAGAAATCAATGACAATGACTCATTCAGCATAGTATTCGGCGAGGCAGGGCTTGTTTTGGTACTGTTCTGATTCTCAGAGGTATTTGGAGAGTTCCACGCAATTCTCTTCATCATTTCCAGTTCTTTAGGATCTGCTGACGTTCTAGACTTGGTCCCACCACTAGCCGGGTTGACTTTTTTAGCATCAGACAAAGGCAGGTCCACAGAATTGGATCTCATAAGATGAGCAACATCCTTGCCTTTCTTAGGCGTCAGAACTCTTGTTTTACTTTGCTGAGAAGTTGACTTATGTGTTATGTCCTCCGTGCAGAATGTTTTGCCATCCTCTCTTCGAGACTGATCATTCCTGATACTGCTGGTTGTGTCTGCAACTTTGCCAGCTGGCAGGAGGGGTACCACAAACGTTTCCTTCAGATATTCATTTCTACTGACAGCCGCTGCGTTCAGTGCAGCATTATCTTTCTTTTCTCCAGCTTCAGCCTGCCCCTTATGCTTCTCCCTGGCTTTCTCAGCACTTGCTTCATTGGCCTGAAAATAGGAATCCACCGTGATGCCATTTTCATTTCCCTCATTGAGTGGGATGGGGCTCATAGTGTTAAGGACAGGTGATGTGATATCTGAGATCTTCCTCCATTGCCGTCTGTGCTTGGATGCTTCATCTGGTTTGGCAAAAATTGCCGTCGATTCCAACGGGGAAGGGGATTTTGATGCTTCCTCCCCTTCATGTGAAGGCCGAGGAGCAAAAACTTCTGCAGCACAAGGATCCGCTCGGGTTTCAGCAAAGACAGTAGGACCAGCTGGCTCAGGGTTATTGCAGTTCTCCTTGGCAACAGTCAAATATTTGGACTCTTGTGACTTGAGGATCTCACTGTTCTCCTTATTCTCTCCCCGCTGTCCCCTGCTACCAAGCTCGGCCATGAGATCTCGAGCCTCCTGGCTTCTCCGTGGACTGTAGCTTGACTTGATATGAGTCAGGGCAGATGTCTGCACCACAGTGCCAGGCTGCTTCACTCTTGGACCCATGGGATAGCGCCTCTGTGGAAAACATGTTCAAAAGCATTACCTTTAGAGCAAAAGTTACTAATTCTAACAAGCTGGTGTATTTAGAAAATCAAACATGATTGCTGATTATGATTAAGCTATCTTCAATGTAGAAAACAGGAACCAACTAACCCCCCCCCCCCCAAAAAAAAAAAATTTTTTTTTAAAAATTAAAAATTACAAAATTGTTAAATCTCACACACATACGAAAATGAATTGCATGTAAAACCAGACGAAAGTCATTTTAAATTAAGTTCACCTTTTTCTACTAACCAGATAGCATCATTTGGATAAGAATGGGCTCAGAACACGAGAGAAAAAAGAACATTTTTGGAGACCAGAAACAGACTACAACCAATAAATCAAAGGATAGACTCCAAAAAACATGTAATATGTAACCCTCTAAAAATTTGTCGATGCATTCCCCTCTCCTATGATTTGGCAATTATGAAAAGAACATCAAACTTATTTACCAGAATAGAAGAACAAAAAAACACAGAATACTTTCATAACCAACAGTCTTTTTCTCAAAGTACTCAAAGTAACCTACCACTTTCCGAGGAGCTTTCGGCTTCTCCACAGTTCCCAGCACAAAAGCTTGGAGCCTGAAAATACCATTGACCGAAAACTGGATCATCTCACGACAACCTCCATCCTCCTCTGGACTCCAGGTAATCTCCAGCTCAAACACATCCTCAGCTCCCACTACAAACCTGAGAGAAACAAATAAAAATCGAGCATTCGTAATGACAAAAATAAGAGGGTTATAAAATTTCAAGAAAATGTGACAACCTTAGGGATAAATAAATAGGCTCATTAAAGAGATGTTTGGAAATGAACTCTAAGTTGATGGCACTTTTAATGCTTCACAACTGAGAGGCCATCAACAACCTTGATAGGGAACGATATCCACCATTCAATGCAAAGAACAAATATATATATATATAGTAAACAGACTATTATGTTATAATCAGTGTTGGGTTGATTTAAATCAGTTGATTTTTTAAATTTAAATCAACTTGATTTTTTAAATAAAAATCAGTGATTTAAATCACTTAAAATTTTTTAAAATTTTCATTCAGTTTTTACATATTTCAACATTCAGAATACCTTTCCTTGGTTTTATAAAACAGATATAAGGTTAAGTAGACTATTAATATAATCATGTTTAAAAGTCTGCTTTCCCTCCTTTCACTGTAAAATACTACAGTATTCAATTTACTTTTTTTCCCTATAAATTGAAATCAGAGCTGGGTTAATTATAACAGTTTGCTTATCAAGAAGAGTGGTTGGCTCACCTTGAATGTTCAATCTTGAAGTTCTTCTTGAAGGGGAACCGCTCCACAACTACTTCCTGATCATAGTCGTGAGGGTTGCGGATCAGAAGTGTTCTCAGTTTGCTCTTCCCAACCAGGATCTTGCCAAACGAGATCTTCGGTGGACTGGTGAAGTGTGTGAGAGTAAGAGTCTCAACACTGTCCAAACTGCGGCGTTTCGTCCGAGGAGGTTTGGTTTCCATGCCATTGTGAGGGAGAGCGAGCTCAGGGGTGGGTGGATTGTCAAACCAAGATCTCCGAGCTTTTCTCATGGGGGCACCAGAGCCACCGGCATCATGGTTGACAGACATTTTTGGCAATTCTGCAGAAATAAAAAAGAGAACATTTAATAGCAACCACTATGTTTTCTTGAATGATCTGATGCTGACTAGTGACGTACCTTGAAGTGAGTCTTCGATTTATGAAAAGGTCAACAGTTCAATCTTACCGAGTTGGAGTCATCACCACAAAGTCAATTGTGAGTGATGACCTTTGCAGGCTTGGAGAATCTTTCCATTCCCCATGTGACACTAGATCTAGAAAGATTAGATCATGCTCAGCGGGTGACTCATGCTGCATCATCAGACCTACTGATATATAAGGAAGGAGGACTACATTCTAGATCTAGAGAATCTAGATTCTAGATAGGCCTACATCCAATACATAGACGATCTAGATCTAGAATATGATGAATATTATGATGGTCCTAGTCATGATACTGATATTGATGGCCATTGATGATTACGAAAAGAGAGAGAGGAGAGAGAGAGAGAGAGAGAGAGAGAGAGAGAGAGAGAGAGAGAGAGAGAGGGGGAAAGAGAGAGAGGGAGAGGGGGAGAGAGAGAAAGAGAGAGAGAGAGAGAGAGAGAGAAAGAGAGAGAGAAGACGCTCATGTTCGAACAAACGGAAGGACTTCCGTAACGAGCGACCACCCCATCAAACACAATAAAGAAGAGGCCTAACCCTAACCCTAACCCAACCCCTACCCCTAGCCCTCAATTCTGCTCTGTCTCATTCATAGTGGTCGCTCGTTACGGAAGTCCTCCCGAACAAACTAATCTAGAATCTAGATCTAGACCTACTCCTAGATCTAGTCTAGATCCAGATTTCTAGTTGTTTTCAGTAGGACTAGAAGATTATCTAGATCTAGATTCTAGATCTAGCCTATAGGCTACTCTCTAGACCTGGGCCTGGGCGTAGCCGGCCTAGTGGGCCTGCTGGGTCATCTGATTTCAGCTCGTCAGAAAGAACACTGAACTTTGAAATAGATTTCCAAATTATTAAACTTACCTGAATGTTCAGTTACAAGCACAGTTTTCACCTGAAGAATGCACAAATAGATCTACATTACTATTTGATAAATTTGAAAGCTAACAGTAATCTAAATCTCTAAATCTATCTCTAGCCTAGTCTTAGGCCTATGTTTATAACTTCAGCTTGCACACAACTGTGTAGACTCTCCACTCTCCTGACTAACTTGTTTACAATCGTTTCAAAATTCGAAACAAGCAGGGAATCAGCCAATCACAAAGCGCCTTCTTTAAAATCCGGTTGCTATCGAGCATAGGATAAAGGGCGTAAATCTGACTACAAACTCCGATATTGTGTCAATTTAACTATTGTGAAAGTATTGAGTAACAATTAATGTATTTTGGGTTAACTGTAACATGTTTCAGAAAAATAAAATCGAGTATTTAGTTTTACGGCATTCAAACTGGATCGTGTTATCGAGCCAGGTCTACTTTTAGTTTCGTTTTTACATTTTCTTTCTTCCTGTTATGTTACATGCGTGTTGTATATTTTAGTGTCTCTGGTTATGTTGATGAAGTAAAAAAGTCGAACGTTGACGCAGAGTGGTTGAAGGTAGACGTGTTTGAATCACAGTGGCCCACAGAATAGATACACACATGATTCATGTCATAGTTTGTTTCAAGTCTCGATATTAATTTTGGCAAGGAGATGACATAACAAACTCATTATTATCGAAGTCTGGCCAGCAATATTATAATAATATAGCATTATATAGCCGAGGTAAGTAGACATCTAGATCTAGACTGAGGACCCTGAGCCTGAGGTTTCAATTTCAGGGAGTTTTACCCTAACATAGAGGCTCAGTTCAGTAACTTACTAAATAATAATAGCCTAATAATGATGTCGATGATAATAATAATAATAATAATAATGATTGCATTTTTATAGCGCCTATCCACGCTCAAAAAGCTTGCTCTATGTGCTTTACAACCATTAGCCTAATGATTAGGGAAGATTGAAGAATACCCGACCACTCGTAACATTATTGCGCGAGAATGTGGGGCGGGTGATTGGGGTGGAGGAGGGGGTTGGGGGGGCAGGGGGGTCTCCCCCCCTGACAAAATTGTAATAAATAGATTTAGATCAACCGGTCCGAGATTCACCATTGAGAGATATTAAAAACTGGGGAAAATCATGAATTCCGAAGGTTGAGGCAAATAGGCAAAGTCAGTCCGCAGGTCCGGTATTCCTCAATCTTACCCAACCATTATTACCCCAGCAGACCCTCTGAGAACACTCAGAAACATTCTCGGCTTCCGCGGAAGCATAATGGCATAATAGGAATAGGGGAGTGTATACAGACCCGGTAACTGGGAACAAAGTCACAAAGTATACAGACCCGGTAGAGGAACTCTTTTTGTGATTTCGGAAAGTTTCAGCGCCCTCTTGGCTCAGGATAGACCTCAGAATTCTACACTAAGGTAGACCTCGGGGTGATCTTATACTTTAGCACATTAAATTCTTCAGTTGAGGACTTCCGAAACGAGCGACCACTTACAGATCTGGATCAAATTTCTATGTCATCAAGATTATAACTCAATGGCTTCCAAAATCATGATGGAAGACTGAAAACCACTGCTGTTATACGATCTGCTCATGACAAAATTATGGTAGTTTGCACATTTTTAGGCCCAGTTCAAAGTTTTGAAGGTCTGAGTCGGGGATTAGTAGACTTTGGGAATTTAACGTGCTAAAGTATAAGATCACCGACCTCGGTTCTTCTAGATATCTAGATTAGATCTATTCTATGGCCTAGGTCTAGCTTATAGTGTACATCTATGAGATAGACTGACATAAATTATTGATCTAGTTTCGAGGCTAGCCTAGATCTAGATCTAAATGAAGATTGCGGATGTCTTTTCGATGAACGATCGTTTTTCCTCCGTTTTGGAGTTGGAGGAATCACAATTTGAAGAAAAGAACATTGTCATATTTCAATTGAGCATTTCCCTCCCTATTTCTCTGCCGCTCTCTCTCTCTCTCTCTCTCTCTCTCTCTCTCTCTCTCTCTCTCTCTCTCTCTCTCTCTCTCTCTCTCTCTCTCTCTCTCTCTCTCTCTCTCTCTCTCTTTCTCCTCTGTCTCTGTGTATCGCTCGCATTCTTTTTCTTTGTGTGTCTTCTTTCTCCCCACCTATTTCCCTCTCTATCTTTCTCTCGTTCCCTCCTGCCAAGTGGGGCATGTCATTTACCTTTTTCTAGCACTTCTCTCTCTCTCTCTCTCTCTCTCTCTCTCTCTCTCTCTCTCTCTCTCTCTCTCTCTCTCTCTCTCTCTCTCTCTCTCTCTCTCTCTCTCTCTCTCTCTCTTTCTCCTCTGTCTCTGTGTATCGCTCGCATTCTTTTTCTTTGTGTGTCTACCGAGTCTGTATACTTCGTGACTTTGTTCCCGGTTACCGGGTCTGTATATACACTTCGTATGCTAAGTGCAAGCTGCAGATTTCACGTGCTCAAACACTACCAAACTGACAAGATCGTTCACTGTCTATAGCTGGATACCCATTTCCACCTGGGTGAAGTGAAGTGAGAAAAATTTGTGCAAAGTGCCTTTCCCAAGGACACAACGTCGGGCCCCTGACGGGATTCGAACCCACGACCTTACGGTTGCGAGTCCGAGAGCCTAACCACTAGGCCACCGACGCCACTTAGATGGCTTTAAGTTAGTGTGACTGGTTTGAGATAGATCTAGATCTAGACTTTAGAAGTCTATATATGAATCAAGAATCTAAATCTGGGAAATCTTATTCTGATTCCCTGTAAGGACTTCTCTGTGGCCACTTTTATTCTCACCCCGGGTGAAAATAACATGTCTCGCTATTCCCCCCCCCCCCGCTGCTGAAAATAGCTAGCTCCCACCCCAGTGTGGGTGTGAGGCGAGGACTCCCCCGTGACCTCTCGCAGGCAGATGAAATGACCTAGGCACTTGGTGACTTGGTGGCTTACCGGCATGTATTTGGCTTGGGATGCTCCACAGCATCATGTTCGTCATTGTTCATGTCCAAATAGTCACTATTAGTATTAGTCACAGTCAGACAATTAGCAGAAAGACCCTGGAGTGGACTCTGGAAATGAGAGATGAGCAGCTATAGACATGTGCCGCCTGCTATGATTACTAGCTCTGAATCCAAGTAATCCAAGTAAAATCACGAACTTCCTCACCTCCTCTTGCCACACTGGCTTGATGGTCCAGAGGCTGTGTCAGGTGGCTGGTGTGGGCCTTGAGGCAATATAATTGTATAATATTACCCTGTTCTCGCTGCAGAGGTCAAACCTTGAGCGAGCGATGCCTGGAGTGGCTATCGACAAACAAGGCCTCTTCTTGCCCTCTCTCTCTAGGCGAGGGATGCAAATATCCCTCAGAAAACTGAGGAAAACACCCTCAGTTATCCATCCATTGTCATTCTTGTTGAAGAACACTTGCTCAAAGCCCTCAAGAGCATTGTAGGGTGGATCCCTCTTGTAAGGAAAGATGAGGAAAGGCGGAAGGTACCGTCCATTTGTGAAGATGCAGGCAAGAGTGGTGACCCATCACACGAAACCCTGCCTTACCAGACGCCATGCCGGCTCTGCGCGACTACCCCCACCCATCCCCTTAGAGAAACTGAGCGGGTCCATGCTCTGCTTAGCACTGATGCTACATGCTCAACACACTGCTGTGTCTGTAGTACAAGTATACACATCTTCATAAATGCCTTGACAGCCTTACAACTGCAAGTCGATGCACTGTTAGAATACATAATCAGCAAGCTTGGAAATAATTTCCCTTTGTGTATGTGCAGTAAGCAACCACAGCTACCTGCCAAGAATCTAGTGCCACAGGAAAGAATACTCCCAGATGTTGATAAGCACGGAAATGCTTTAGCATGTCTTAATTGATTCTTTCATACCATAGAGGCGTGTTGTACTGCCCCCCCCCCCCCCCCCATCTGAATTTTTAGACATTTTTAGTTTGATATAGTTTTCTAACACTATTCTCTATCTTTTCTTGTCAGAATTTTTCCCTTGGAAGCTACCAGGCAATTGAGTTGAACAACTCAAGAATCGTCATGCTTGTATGAGTGACAGAGCTACATGTATAAAATTTGTCTCAAACTCTTAACTCCAAATTCAACCTCATCTTTCTTTTCCCCTGTGCTAGGTCTAGACGTAGAAATTTATATCTAAAATGTCATGTTCTCTCAGAATGGAGCCCATGGATTTTGACAGTGAGGAGCCTGTGTACAGACATTCATCTTATCGCCAAGCTTCTCTCTCTCCTCCGTTGCCATCTGTCAACAGAGAGAGTGATGCCTCCGACATGGATGTCGACTCAAACTCACCCGTCCAAGGTCAGACCATTTACTTTTCTTTTCATGTTTAGCTCGTTTTGCTATATCAAGCAACCTGAAAATCATATGTGTTACAGGGAGGGAGTCTTGTTTGTGTTTATATTTGACAAATTTCAAGAGTTCTTTAAATTGAGGGGAGATGGCCTGAAAAAATATAAAGATGAGTTAAAGACAGGTGCAATGTGTTTTTTTGTTTTGTCAGAGCATGTAGGCTATGTATTTCATGTTTTGTTTTAGTGGAGTAAATGAAAGCTAACAGCTAACATATGTTTCGCCAATGACTTTCATATATTTTGTTGTATCAACAAGGGGAAATGTGAATGTAAAGAATGGGGAAGGGGCATTATATAGACATAATGAATTCAATCAGTCTGTTAGAAAACTTTAAGGCCAGAAATAGCTCTTCGAATCCTAAGAATAAGTGTTGTGCTATGGATCAACTAAACGTACTTACTTGTAAACACTTTAACCCTATTATTCTTGCTTTTGTGCCCCAGAGCAATGTGTACTATCCCGAACCAATGCGATCTGATGCAACATCTCTGACTTCTTACTAATGCGACACAAGTAATCCCTATTGTGACAGCTTTTACCATCTTGTGGTGAACTCTTGAGCTGCAGTTAGTAGAGATTAGCTTAATAATGTAATTTTTCTCTCCAGGGAAATTTTATGTTTAGGTTTTACTTTATGCACAGTATACAATAGTACCCCAAACACTGACAATACCCCTTAAGCACAGGTCTCTCCTTCACAAGGTGATTTTTTGTTGTTGTCCAACTGTAGATTCTGCCCATCGTCAGATGTCGCCACGATGGTCAGCATCCCTTGAGCATGTGAGCCGCGCTGTCAGTGCTGTCATGTCGATGAGCGTCGGAGGGAAGGAACCAACAGATGACAACGGGGGAAGGATGGCGTCAAAGGAATGTGAAGTCTCTCAAGCTACCCAACGATCTCACAGCTGGGAACCCGCAGCTACTGTTGTGAGAGGGGTTGTTGCGTTTCGGAAAAACAAGAAAACAGGTTATGGTATCCCCGATGATGACCCAACTTTCTCTCATTTCCCAGGCTATGTGAGGGATGTACAAAATGAAAGATCATTGCGACAAAGATCTGGAAATGTTCTAGCTACCCCAGAAGCTTCTGCTACTCCTCTGAATACCAAGACTGCTGGACAAATGAGTCATCCGCGTGGTCCTCCGAGAAAGAAGCTAAGAGTTGGTTCTAATGAAACGGATGTAGGACAAAAATCATCAAAATGTACCTGCAAGAGTGTCTCACTTTGGACAATATTTCTTTTTATAATAGTCTGTTTAATTTTTTACATTCATGACTGGCAGGACAAAAGATGTAAGGCAAGCAAGCTGTTTGACAAGAGATCTCTTGAAATTGATCTGGAATCTTATGTCTTTGGGCAAGAAGTTGCCTCTCGCATGGTAACAACAGAACTCGAAACATACTTTCATCAGCTCAACACACCGTCTACTTCAGAGGAATACTCGGTTTCTTCCAAAAGAGCTTCATATGGGAAGAATAATGTAGACTTGTGTAAACCTTTGGTGATGTCATTCCATGGTGGCACTGGTGTAGGGAAGAATTTTATGAGCCGAATTATGTCGGAGAACTTAAAGCGTTCGAAAGTTATGCAGTTCGTGATACCTCATTTATTTCCCCACAAAGTTTACAATGAAATTTATTCTAAACAGATACAGCAGTGGATCATGGGAAATGTCACAGAATGTAAGGTCAGCATATTTGTCATTGATGAGATGGACAAAGCACCCCCTGGTGTTGTTTCTGGCATCGGTCAGGCTGTCCACTCTCTGTCAAAGCCGTGTCACCTCGCCGCACCCGTCATTGTACTTCTACTGTCCAATGCTAACGCTGTAGAAATTAACCGCAGGTTTCTTAGTCTTCGTCATGCCCATCCATCTTCGTTAATCAGAGAAAAAATTTCTGATTCAAAGTTCATGGATATTTTCAAATCCGAGAGTGAATGGTATTTTACTCTAGCATCCAGTACTATAGATGTTTTTGTTCCTTTTCTTCCTCTGGAAAAGTCTCATGTTATTCAGTGCATCCGTAGGGATCTCGTGGCAAAAGGTTTCTCCAGCAATTCCGATGCAGTTGAGAAAATCTTGAGAGAGCTCAGTTACTCAACGTTTGGAGACCTTCATCTCTCCACCACAGGCTGTAAGAGAGTCCAGGACAAAGTGGACTATGTTATGATGCAGGTCAACTCAAAGTGACCAATGTGCAATTGAGCTCCAAAAGTTTTGTGCTGTGATTTAGGACTGACAGTTTTCTTGATTGATAGCGAATATTTATCTTTTTTTTCTTCTGTGTTATGAAAGTATTTTTTCTGTGAATCAGGACATCTCTATGAGTGTGAGTCATGAATTGCTCAAACTCAAATGTGACCCAGACTTTGTCTTTCTGGTATGATATGCCAACAATTTTAACACGTCTTTGCCATGTGTATGAATCTGTAAACTGTTATCATATACAAGTATTTGCCTTTATTTGTCAGTATTGTGCATGTTCTTCCAATAGTTGACATGAGGTTCTTGTTGGGCCTTATTTAGCTACGGCTCAATTCCAAAGGACTTTTGTTGTTATGGTTTTCCTGAGAAGTTCACAGATCCTGGAATGACTTCAGGACTTGTTGTGATCTTCATGTCTCTCAGGCAGAAATTTGTCTTGGTCGTTTACAGTGGCGGTGGGTGTTACAAGGGTCTGGTGCACTCTTGCATACACACAACATAACATGTAGGCCTATTACGTCCTGAACCCCCATCATTACCCTTTTCTTCTGTTCTTTATTTTTGTACTACCCACATTCCCAATTTGGGAAACCGTTCTCCGGGATTGTAATCTACGTATACAACAGAACAGGCTTCCCCTGATCGATGAAGAATGTAAATCCAGATTTTTTTTACCTCTCCGAACTTCTGACACATACACACACACACACACACACACACACACACACACACACACACACAGCTTTACCTTTAATCCTGCTTAGGCTCTGTCTTACCTACGACGACTATGAGAGTGTATGTGTGTGGCTCTGTGTGGGTCTGTGTGTGTGGGGGGGTCTGTGTGTGTGCGTTATGATTT